CCCCTGATTTTCGTCCCAGACTTCTTCTTTCCCGCCTTTGCATTCATCGAGGTCGCCATTGCCCTCGTCGTTGACTCAGACTGTCCACCACTAACATCCTTTTGTTTGTCAGAAGAGGGAGCCACCCCTGCATCTGGGAAAGCAGTAGAAGATGTGGCAGTTGTGGACGATTTGGCAGCAGAGGCCCTCTTGGCAGCAGATGCCGTGACAGCAGCTGATGAGGCAGCAGATGACGTAGCAGCAAATGACGTAGTAGCAAATGGCTTGGTAGCAAATGGACTGGCAGCAGATGACGTGGCATAAGATGATGTGGCAGAAGATGAAGTGGCAGCAGATGACATAGCAGCAAATGGCTTGGCAGCAAATGGTACGGTTAGGGGCATCTCGAAAAATTTCCCGCTGGCTTTTAATGGCCATCCGATAGGGGCATCCCGCAAATTAGGGACCCATACCGGTAGGGGCGTAACGAAAAGATTTGAGGCCTAAACGACACCGGGGACTTATGGAAAATTGAACCCTGCTCAGAGGGGCGCGACAGGGTAAATGGGCCGTCGGAGGGGCGCGACAGGAAATAACACAAATTACAGGGGCTCCAGACAAATTTTCCCTTCAAAAAAAGACCAAACGAAAATGGACTCTGCAAGCGCTGGTCAGACGGTGCCTCTGAAAAATACCTCTACGGGCCCACGGCCTGTGTTGGGGGGGAGGGGGGCTGGGGTGAGAGAGAGAGAGAGAGAGAGAGAGAGAGAGAGAGAGAGAGAGAGAGAGAGAGAGAGAGAGAGCGCAGGGAACCAATCTCTGATCCAGGCCGTCGTCGGTTCTACCAGCCCACGGCCTGGATAGTCGGAGACATGTAAAAAAACTGAAATCTCGGCCGTCGGATCGTGCTCCAATCCAGGCCTTTGGCCTGGTACCTCGGGCCCGGCGGCCCAGATCATTGTCATTTACCTTTTGGAGAGGGCCGCGGTACCTACCTACCTGTACGGTTTCTTGGCGCAGTACCTACGGCTAGGGTTTTGTGCTCTGCAGTGAAGTGAAACTCAATTGTCGTTGGAGCGCGCGTTGTGCTTTGTCCCAGGGCAGTGTCTGTTGTTGTGACGCGCGTCGTGAAGCGCGCCGTTGCTTGAACGCCCCATCACGTTGTGAAGCTCGCCCTCTCTCTCTCTGTCTGTCTCTCTCTCTCATTCTCTCTCTCTCTCTCTCTCCCTCTCTCTCTCTCTCGCTCGCTCGACGGTGGTTGAACGTTGGTGGGCCGTGAGTTGTGGTGCCGGTGGACTGTGGTTGGGACGGGTGGGCTGTGAGATGCGATGGACGACGCCTGAACGCCCCTCGAATATGGCAAACACAGGTGAGTTCCCCCCCGCTCCTCTGCCCTTCCTCCTCCGCCGCTTTTCCGCCCCTACTCCGGCGCTTCTCCCCCTCTCACCCGACGCTCTTCCGCGCCGCCCCGCTTCTCCTGCCCCCGTCTGCCACCCCTCCCCCCTGCTCCAGCCGGTTCTCCCTTCGCCGCGGCTTCTGACCCTCCCGCCCCTCCTGCCTCCGCTCCCTTCCGCATCCTCCTCGGCCCTCCTCCCTCCTCCGCCTTCTCCCGGCTCATTCTGCGCACGCTCCCCTCCGCAGAGAGAGAGAGAGAGAGAGAGAGAGAGAGAGAGAGAGAGAGAGAGAGAGAGAGAGAGAGAGAGAGAGAGAGAGAGAGAGAGAGAGA